TAACATCTAGAAATTGATGGCATTAAATTTTTTTTTTCTTTATTGATTTTAGAGACATAGAAAGGGAGAGGGAGAGAAAGAATGAAATGTCAGTGAGAGAGAATATCAATTGGCCACCATCTGCATGCGCCCCACTGGGGATTTGGCCCACAACCTGGGCATGTGCCTGACCAGGAATTGAATCAGCAACCTCATGGTGCATGGGTCAATGCTCAACCACCAAGCCACACCAGCCAGGTGAAATCAATGGAATTTTTATACAATAATAATGAACTCTAAGAAACAGGGGGAGAAAAATCTATTTACCATTACAACAAAAAAATTAAAATACTTAGAAATAAACTTAACCAAGTTGTTAAAAGACCTGTACTCAGAAAATGACTGGACATTGATAAAAGAAATAGAGGAAGATATAAAAAAGTGAAAGCATATATCTTGTTCATGGAGTGGAAGAATGAACATCATTAAAATGTCTATAGTACCCAAAATAATGTATAGATTCAATGCAATCCATATTAAAAATATCAACGACATATTTCACAGATCTAGAACAAATACTCCAAAAATTTATATGGAACCAAAAATATACCAAATAGTCGCAGAAATCTTGAAAAAGGAGACTGAAGTAGAAAGGATCATAATTCCAAGTACTACAAAGCCATTGTAATAAAAACAGCCTGGTACTGGCACAAAAACAGGCATATAGATCAATGGAACAAAACAGAAAATGCAGAAAATGTCCCAAGACATTATGCACAATTAATATTTGATGAAGAAGGCAAGAATGCACAATGAAGTACAGAAAGTTTCTTTAATAAATGGTGTTGGGACAACTCGACAGATACATGCAAAAAAATGAAACTAGACCACCAGCTTACACCATATATAAGAATAAACTCAAAATGGACAAAAGACTTAAATGTAATTTGTGAAACCATAGAAATCCTAGAAGAAACCATAGGCAGCAAAATCTCAGACATTTCATGTAGCAGAATTTTCACCTTCACCAATATATTACCTAGGACAAGAGAAACAAAGGGAAAAATAAGTGAGACTACATCAAAATAAAAAGCTCTCACCCTATCCGGTCTTGCTCAATGGTTAGAGCACTGGCCCATGGACTAAAGAGACATGGATTCGATTCCCAGCTCTGGTCAGGGTCATTCAGGAGGCAACCAATCAATGTGTCCCTCTCACATTTATGTTTCTCTCTCTCTCTCAGTCTCCCTCCCCCTCCCTTCCATTCTATCTAAAAATCAATGGAAAAATATCCTCTGGTGATGATTATAAATAAATGAATGAATAAATAAATATAAAAAGCTTCTATATTGCAAAAGAAACCATCAACAAAATTAAAAGGGATCCCACTGTGGAAGAACATATTTGCCAATGATATCTCTGATAAAGGGTTAATTTCCAAAATAGAGAACTCATACAACTTAACAAAAGGTAGACAAACAATCCAATTAAAAAATGGGCAAAGGATCTAAATAGACACTTCTCCAAAGAGGACATACAGATAACCAAGAGACATATGAATAAATGCTCAAAGTAACTAATCATCAGAGACATGCAAATTAAAATGACAAATGAGTTCTCACCTCAAACGTGCCAGAATGGCTATGACCAACAAAACAATGAATGACAAATGCTGGCAAGGTTGTGGAGAAAAGGGATTGCTGGTAAGAATGCAGACTGGTGCAACCATTAGGAAAAACAGTATGAAGTTTTCTCAAAAAATTAAAAATGGAAATGCCATTTGATCCAGTGATCCCATTTCTAGGAATATATTCTAAGAATCCTGAAACACCAGTCAGAAAAAAGCTATGCACCCCTATGTTCATTGCAGCGCTATTCACAATTGCTAAGATCTTGAAACAGCCCAAGTGTCCATCACTAGATGAGTGGATAAAAAAGTTGTGGTACATTTATACAATGGAATATTATGCAGCTGTATAAAATAAGGATTTCTTATCCTTTGAGATAGCATGGAGGGACCTGGAGAGTATTATGCTAAGTGAAATAAGCCAGTCAGAGAAAGACAAGTATCACATGATCTTACTTACACATGGAATCTAATGAACAAAATAAACTCATGAACAAAATAGATCCAGAGACATGGAAGCAGGGAACAGACTACCAAATCTCAGAGGGTAGGGAGAGGAGGGAAGAGATTAACCAAAGAACTTTTATGCATAATTGAATAACCCTTGGACACCGATAATAGTGTGGTGAAGGCCTGGGGGAGCAGCAGGCGTGAAATGGAGGGGGAGGGGTCAATGAGAAGAAAAAGGGAGACATCTGTAATACTTTCAACAATAAAGATAAATTTAAAAGATAAAATGGGCTTCCTAAATGTGGACAACATGCCATGTTTTGGACTCCAGTTCTTCAGCTATTCTCTAAGTTACTAAAAGGCTCTGACAACAAATGCGGTTCATCCAGGTGGGAAACTGTGAATGGTGGTCCTAATTGTTACTTTCTTTTCACAACTCAGACAGTTGAAGATTAAAGCAACTTAATTTTACATCATCTGCTTCCATTGTAAGACTGGTATTCAAATAAACCTTTAAAATCTACCCTGAGTGCAGCCACTGCTACTTCCTGCCACTGCTACTGCCCTGGTTCACTCCTCTGTGCTACCTGCCCTGGCTTATGGCAATGAGCTTCCAGAAGGCCTCTGGCCATCGAGACCCACCCGACAGAGAGTGCCCGCTGAAAATGAAGTTGCAGCAAGCCACTGCCTCACTTAGAATTGTCCAGGGGCTCACAAGACGAAATGTCCTTCTTGGAAAGAGACTCATTCTATTCGTGGCAGAGTTAGGGTGGTAAAGCAGTTCAGAGTAAATGCAGTGCTCACAAACCTTCGTGACCCCACTCCCCACTGTTACCGCTCCCTGCATCTCTGCTGTTCCGCCTCTGGGACTTTGGGCACCCTTCCCCATATAATTTTAATTAATAGACTTTAATTTTTAGAGTAGTTTTAGGTTCAAAGCAAAACTGAGCAGAATATACAGGTTCCATATTCCCCCTCCCCAACCCCACATGCACAGCCTCCCCTTACCAACATCCCCATCAGAGTGGCACAGGTGTTACAATCAGTGAACCTACACTGACACATCATAATTGCCCAAGTTCATAGTTTACAGTAGGGTTCACTCTTCATGTTGTACAGTCTATGAGTCTTGACAAATGTACAATGACATAGATTTGCCAGTGTAGTATCACACAGACCAGTTTCAATGCCTTAAAAATCCTCTGTGCTCCACCTATTCACCCCTCCTTTCCCTGCTAACTCCTGGAAACCACTGATCTTACTACTGTCTCATAGTTTTGCCTTTTCCAGAACATCATATAGTTGGAATAGTAACACTATGTAGCCTTTCAGACTGGCCTCTTTTACTTAATAATATTTATTTAGGTTTCCTTCATATTTATTTTTTTATCCTCACACAAGGATATTTTTTCCATTGATCTTTTAGAGAGACTTGGAAGAGAGGGAGGGAGAGAGAGAGGGAGATAAACATCAATGTAAGAGAGACACATTGATTGGTTGCCTCTCTCATGACCCCAACCTGGACCAGTGATAGAACCTGCAATCCAGGTGCCCTTGACTGGAATCGAATCCACGACTTTCAGTCCTAGGGTCGATGCTCTAACCACTGAGCCAAACCAGCCAGGGTCCCCATGTGTTTTCATGGCTTGGTAGCTCATTTCTTCTTAGTGCTGAATAATATTCCATTGTCTGGACATAACACCATTTATTTATACATTTGCCTACTGAAGAACATCTTGGTTGCTTTCAGCCCTTCTATTTATTTCCTACATAGTGCTCATCATGAACAAGCATCCTCTTTACTTGACTTGTTTATTTTTATCTGTAGCTTCTACACCAATCCCCAACTCTGGTATAACCTTGATGAAGACAGGGGTTTCTATCTTGTTCTCTGCTATATCCCAGCACACAAAACAGTGCTAGTGTATAGTAGATGCTCAAGAAATATATATTCGATGAAAGAATAAAAAGATATTTTCCAAAAGGTACAAAAATTACTAAATCACATGCCAGCACATAATGTATAAAGTACATTTCTAGCTATACCAAGGTCACAGCTAATGTCCATCAATGATGAATTTATAGTGCTTAGCCCAGATCCAGGAATACAGTCAGGATTCTTTAGATACTTGCTTTCTACAAAAGTGTGAGCTCCATGGGAACAGAAACTTATTCTGTCTTATTTGCCACTATATTCTGGGCACTGAGGACAATGCCTGGCACATAGTAGGTGCTCCAACAATAGTAAATGGATGGATAATCATGATGATTGTCTCATTTTATTAGTTTTCTTATTTGATAATTTGTTTTATCTGTCAGGTACTCTTAGTGAATCAAAGAGATGTTTAATAATTATTTTTGAAGTAATGACTTAAACACAAACATAATTTATCATGTTGTTTGGTCCAAGCTCAACTTTAACTTACTGCCATAATCTGAAAAAAAAAAAATTATTATCTCATCTCTGTGGTGTTACTAGTATGTCAGTTAAAGCAATGTGAAAATATTTTTTATCTTAAAATAATGTTAAAAGACATAAAAATATTTAAAATATTTTTTAAAAAAGAAAAAATATTTACGTGCAGATTTTTCATTAATATCACTTGCTAAAGGGTGAAAAGAGACAGATGAGCAAATCCTTCAATGGCTATGGATTTTGAATGGCAAAGGACTATTCAATTCATAAAATTAAAGATAAAACTAAGTAAAAGAGTCCTTCTCTAGAAGTAGCAGATGTGGGAAATCTCAGTAAAGACATAAACTAGGATGACAGAGAACTCTTTAGGAGATATATCCTCTTGCCCTGATCCAAAAAAAAGTTCAAACAAGTGAGTCTCTGTCTGGTTGAGGAGGTATGGAGGGATGTATTTCATTAAGGGATAAATATAACATTTTTATGGATGAATATAATACATAGTGAATGAGGAAGTTCTTATTAACTTACCCATCATTGTTAACATCTGATACTGCAACTGTATATCCAAAATAAGATGCCATCTGCAAAGAAAACCATTTTGCATTTAAAATTCATTTCCTAGTCATGTCTCAATTTTCCCTGAAAGATTAATCTCATTGCAGCACGTTTTTGCATTTAAATTCATAGACTCTTGGACATAGAGTCTTGGAGTCACTTAATTTAACCTCTGACCCAATGCATAGTTTTCTCCTCTATACCCCTGACATCCACTTGGACACCCTCAGAAGACGTTCGACAATCAGCCTATTCAATATGTGGACTCAGTAATCAGAATGTTCTTTACTAAAATTGGCCCTTCTGCCCTAGCCTGTTTGGCTCAGCAGTTAGAGCATCAGCCTGCAAACCAATGAGTCTCAGGTTCAATTCCAGTCAAGGGCACATACTTTGGTTCCTGCCCTGCTCAGGATCATTCAGAAGGCAGTCAGTTGAGGTGTCTCTCTCCCATCGATGTTTTTCACTCTCCCTCCCTCCCACTCTATCTGAGGATGGATGGAAAAATATTCTATGGTGAGGATTAAAAAAAAATTGGTCTTTCTGTAACTTCTAGTTCTTAATCCTACCTAATTCTACGGTCTTGAACCTCAGGAATAAGTCTAATTCCACTGCTATATGAAATATCATATGGAAATATTTTTAGCTGGTATACCATCCTGACCTCCTTTTCTTAGAGATACTACATGTGATACCAAAGAGAAGTTGATACCCCATAAGCACACTGACACTCTTCTTACGTAGGATTTACACTCTCTGCTCAGGCTCTTTATATCACTAAAGAATAAAGAGATTTAGTTTGGGGGAAATTGCATATCAGTATCAATTCATATCTCATTTATTGTCAAGTAAAGTGCCTATGTCTTTTATGAGTTTAACTGGTGTGCCACAATCTCCCCATGTTATAGCTCTTAAGTTTTTGTTTTTCAACCTATGCTTTCAAGATTTATAACCTTTTCAGATTTGGCCCATTGTTTCAGCTTGCCAGGATTTTTTTGTTTCCATATTCTGCCATCCAGATGGTGCTTTAGCTGACTTTGCCTCCCATTATCTACTAATTTAATCAGCACACAACCCACTAAAAGTGTGCTCCAGGCGAAGATGTTGGTCTGTGATGTTTACTCTTCTATCCGCACTGCCTGACCAGGGCTTATCTAACTCAAAATAGGTGCCAGGTGCCAGATACTCTTTGCAAAGGGAATAAACACAGGAGTGCACAAGTGTTATACAGTAATTCAATTCTCCCACCTCTTTCTCTCTTCTGACTATTTACAGTAACATTCTCATTCCTGGTGTGGCACTGCATGGCCTGTAACCAGAGGAATTTCTTCATTTATGTAGTAACCTTTCAGGTTCAAGATGGCACAACTAGGTGGTATTAAGATGAGAAGTTATAGCCCTGGCCAGTTTGGCTCAGCGGTTAGAGTGTCGGCCCGTGGACCAGAGAGTCCTGGGTTCAGTTCCCGCTAAGGGCACATACCCTGGTTGCAGTTTGTCCCCAGCCCCAGTTGGGGTTGTGTAAGTGGCAGCCAGTCGATGTCTCTCTCTCACATCGATGTTCCTCTCTCTCTCTTCCTCCTTCTCTCCCTCCTGCTCTATCTGAAGATAAATGAAAAAAAAAATGTCCTCGGGTGAGGATAAAAAAAAAAAGATGAGAAGTTATAGAAAGGCCAAATTTAATCATGTTTAAGGAGCTTCTAATGTAAAATGTGAAACAAATCTGGGAAAAGACCTGCCAGATTTTCATTAAACCATTCATTATCACCACTTGGGAAGAACTGTTCAAAATTCATAAGTCCAGCCAACATCACTGTCATCCTGGCCTTATTTCTCCATATTTACCACAGGAGTATCATGAGAGACACTGTTGAATGCTTGTTGAAAATTGCAGAGTAATGTAGACTAAAGCCCCTATTTATGGGGGGAGGATGTCAAAAATGTTGTGATCATTGAAAAACTTTATAAATCAAAACTGCATGACAAATATATTAATCCAAATTTATATCTGTAGGTAAAAGTCGAGCATTCCAGTATTTTATATCATAATCCAGAAGGCCGAGATGTAACTTGGCCAGATTCAGATGTGAGGCTTGCTAGAATCTCGGTAAGCTGGATTGGTAGTTAGGAGAGAAAATTGGTTGCCCAGAGAAACTAATTCAACTCATGACTGGCTACCTTAGATGTCAGCACCAAATTCATTGTTTAAAGAAATGTGGCAGATTTCAAGAGGTCACAAGATGCAGGAAAATGTAGGGTGGTCTATGAAGTGTGACCCCCAGGCCATTTCATCAGGAGAATGAGAGTAGTGTGTTCCGGGCAAGCGGCCCTTCTTAATAAGACCTCAGCCAGTGACGGGGCAAGGAGCACTTCCTGGCAGGAGGGGAGCAGAACCAGACAGCTTGTCAATCTTCATATAATGTTGGGTTCAAGGGAGGGTTCTAGTCCCAGTGAGGAAGGGAGGCAGAGCCCAGGATCACTGACTCTGGCCAATACAGTGGGACATATGAAAAGCCTGTGCTTCTCAGATGGAAGGTGGGAACCTAAACTCACCATGAGACTCCCTATATACACGGTAGCAATATAACAGGACTGCTCTCAAATCCCAGCATTTAGTGTCATTTTGGCTTTTAAGGATCATAATCTGTCTTTATGTAACTAACCACTACCTGAAATTACCATGGGCATTTATTTGTTAATTGTCATCCCCGACATTGCTGCATGAGAGCTGGATTCTAGTCTGTCGGATGCATGGTTATATTCCCAGTACCTAGACAGCTTCCAGAACATAGTAGGTGCTCAGTAAATATTTATTTTATAAAAGAACAAATAATATGAATATTACTATATGCTATTTATACTGAGATTATTTGATATTAAGATGTCTTTACCACTCTGGCCGGTTTGGCTAAGCCGGTAGTGAGTCGCAGGTTCAATTCCAGTCAAGGGGACATACCTCGGTTGTGGTTCGTCCCCAACCCTAGTCAGGGTCCTGCAGGAGGCAACCAGTTGATGTGTCCCTCTCACATTGATGTTTCTCTCTCTTTCCCTCTCTCTCTCCCTCCCTCCCACTCTATCTGAAGATAAATAGAAAAATATCCTCAGGTGAGGATTAAAAAAAGTCTTTACCTGTTCACCAGTGAAATTCTGAATAAAGGTCATATCTGTAGAGTTAATGATCGAAACCTGAAATCATAGAAATTAGATAGGTTGTATCATTTGATATAGACTTGGAGAAAAACAATTTAGTTACATTTTTAAATGTTGGAGAAGGGTGATAAATAGTTAGCTATATGTAAAATAAAAATGTAAGCCCATAAAAATGATCTTTAAAAACTCCTATTGAGCCCTGGCCGGTTTGGCTCAGCAGTTAGAGCGTCGGCCTGCGGTCCTGAGAGACCCGGGTTCGGTTCCCGCTAAGGGCGCGTACCTCGGTTGCAGTTTGTCCCCGGCCCTGGTCGGTTGTGCGGGTGGCAGCCACTCGATGTGTTCCTTTCACATCGATGTTTCTCTCTCTCTCTCTGTTCCTCTCTCTCTCTCCCACTCTACCTGAACAAAAAAATGGAAAAATGTCCTCAGGTGAGGATTAAAAAAAAAAAACTCCTATTGAACTTTTTGTTTATGGTTAAGTCTGGGGGTCCTTTCAGACAAAATGCATACTTACTACTCTGAAGTGGAGAAATAAAATTTGAATTCAAGAACATGAGAGCAATTAATCTGATGATCAGTTAATTGACCTAATCAGGATTTTTGTATGGATTCATTTTTGTATAAATTTATGTCATTATGAAAAATTGGAGATTATGTCTCTTTGCAAAAAATAAAAGTTTAAGATATTATTCATGTCTCTGGCCAGGGTGGCTCAGTGGTTGAGCGTTAACCCCTGCACCAAGAGATCACTGATTTAATTCCCTATCAGGACACATGACTAGTGGGGGGCATGCAGGAGGCAGCAACTGATGTTCTCTCTCATCGATGTTTCTATCTCTCTCTCCCTCTCTAAAAAATCAATAAAGAAAAAAAATTTTAATGTTATTCATGTAGCAAAATTATTCATTTTAATTCTATTCAGCCAACCCCAAATCAATAAATATTGAGTTTACTAGACTTAAAAAAAATAAACAATATTTAAAATACTTTTATTTTTAAAGTGTTTTTTTCATAAAGTTTATTATTTCCTTTTCCTATTTGGGGGGTGGGGGGGGCAACCAGTTTAATGAATTTGAACAGCATCCCTCCAAAATCCATGCTGCTATTTGGAAGTAGGGTCTTTGCAGATAAAATAAAGATCTTGAGATAAATCATCCTGGATTTAGGGTAGGCCCTGTATCTAATGACTGGAGTCCTTATGAGAAAAGGGGTGGACACATAGATACAGATGGAAGAAAGCCATAAGGAGGCTGAGGCAGAGACTGGAGTTAAGCCACTACATGCCAAGGAGAGGCAGGGGCTACCCGAAGCTGGAAGAATTCTCCCCTAGATGTTTTGGAAGAAGTGTGACCCTGCAGATGCCTTAATTTCAGATTTCAGGCCTCTTGAGAAAGTAAATTTATGTTGTTTTAAGCCACCCAGTTTGTGGTAATTTGTGATAGCAACCCTAAGAAAACGAATGCACTAGTGAAATAACTATTGATTTTATTATTTCTACCACATGAGACCTATCCAAATGTTGATCATATCAACAATGGGGTCCTCTGTAATTATTCCCAGATTATGCACAAGGATCCGACTGGCTTCATGGGTGTGCAAACTGCGCAGTCACACAGGGCTCCAGGCTCATATGGGCCCCACCCCTGCTTTAATGCCCAACTATCACTGTCTTGAAATTCTGAATAATTTTGAACAAGGGCCCCTGCATTTTCTTGCAGTGGGTCCCACCGATTATGCAGCTGATCCTGCACATAGATCAGAAAGGAAACATCTAGCCTCCTTTTTAGTAAGCAAGCATGCATGGATTGGTGGGGGCTAGCTATTAAAGGGCATTTTAAAAGAGTCAGAAGCTGTCGGAAACAAAACATGTATATGCACACATAAGACAATATCCTGTAATGCATTCTTAGTACTCACATATCCAAAATTCTGTGCTCCTCTTGGAACTCCAGCAATCAATTCTGGTGATAAAAACAGTCATTTAGAAGGTGAATTACATATATACACTTTATAGCTACTCAACAAATCAGTTAAAGAGAAGTTTTTATTTATTCATTGTTTTATTGTTGAAAGTATTACAGATGTCTCCCCTTTTTCCCCCATTGACACCCTAGAGAGCTGGGAGTTTGAAGTCACAGTTTTGCATGCAATGGGTTTTGCATCTGCTACACACAGTAGAAAACAGAAGACCAAAGCTGTACTTTGAGATTTAGCAGTCTCCATCATCAGTCTCCATGTTGCTGCCTCTAGACCACAGGCCTGCGTGTAATTTGTAGGTTAAACCTCTTACCCTGATTTCTCCAGCTTTCACCATGGTGACATCTTTAGTGTAAAAAGTTAACAGCTCCTGTCACACTAAAATGTTAAAACAATTTCAATTATCTAAGGAAAAGCCACATATCAGAAATGATATGAGTCTACCTCTGGAACTGTTTGTTGGCAGAAGATTAGAGGGCAACCTGGCAGCCAAGAGAGGAGGCTTCAGTGACAGAGACAGAGGAGGTATCTCTGGTGGGAAGGGGGCAGATATTCCAAGGCACAAAGACCGGGCTCTAGATTCAGAAAGCAGTGTTCCAGTCCTTTGCATGGCTGTGCATGTGGGATGAGTCACTGAACCTATTTTATTTATTTGTTTGTTTGTTTATATTATTATTGCCCTGGCCAGTTTGGTTCAGCAGTTAGGGCATCAGCCTGCAGACCGAAGAGTCGCGAGTTTGATTCTGACCAAGGGCACGTACCTTGGTGGCAGTTCATACCTGGCCCCAGTTGGGGTCGTGAGGGTGGCAACCAATCCATGTGTCTCTCTCACGTCGATGTTTCTCTCTCTCTCTTCCTCCCTCTCTCCTTCTCACTCTATCTGAAGATAAATGTAAAGATATCCTTGGGTGAGGATTATATTTATTTATACACACACACACACATATATTATTATTATTGTTATTATTTTTAGTCCTTACCCAAAGATATTTTCCACTGATTTTTAGAGAGAATAAAAGAAGGAAGGGAGCAAGAGGGAGGGAAGGAGAGAGAGAGAGAAACACCGATGCAAGAGAGACTCATCAATTGGTTGCCTTCCACACAACCCCAACGAGGGCTGGAGATCAAAGCTGCAACCCAGGTATGTGCCCCTGACCAGAAATTGAGCCCGCAACCCTTCGGTCCATGGCTGATGCTCTAACCACTGAGTCAAACAGGCCAAGACCTTTTTTTTTTTTTCCAGTCACCTGAAATATTGGAATCTCATTATCAAAGACCTCTCCAGCTCTCCTTTCTATCAATCAAACTATTATTTGATTCATTGGGGTTAGAATGTGAGTTTAATTTAAAGAAGGGCATAGAAGACAGTCCCTTTCTATTCAAAAATCCCTTCCTCCACTCCTGCCCCTAAAGGAAGAGCCCAAACCCCAGCATTCACTCTATGTGGCCTGCTGAACATAGCAAAGTTGGGTGGCCATGCTGTTAGCATTAATAGTCAGAGAAGAGTCATTTGGGACTACATGTTGGACTTTTCAGTAAATTAACTAATTTAATCAACAAATATTTATAGGCACACATAGGATACACAGTGAACAAAATAGACAAATTTCCCTGCTCTCAAGGAGCTAATGCTCTAGTTTGGAGAGGCCAGCAATTTAAAAAATGGATCTGATTAAATGGTATGTTAGAAGCACATAAGTACAATGGAGAAAACCAAGCAGTGCAATGGTACAGGGAATGGGGGTGCGGAAGGACTTGTGATGTATTAGGGTAGTCAGGGAGTGATTTAGAGAGAAGGTGACACGTGAGCAAAGATGAAAGAAAGTGGGGAAGTAAATACTATGGGGATCAGGGAGAAGAATGTTCTAGTCAGAGGAAATAAGTGCAAAGGTCCTAAGGTATAAATGTGTCTGGAGCATTAAAAGGAAAGCAAGGAGGCCATGGAGGCTGAAGTAGAGGAAGTGATGGGTAAAGGAGTAGGAGATGAGGTCAAAACAATTAGTGGCTTCATAATTAGTTTCTTAGGTCATTGGATTTTAGCCTGAATGAGTGGAACATCATTGTAAGCAAAGAAGTTACACGGTCTGATTTTTGTGTCTGAGGGACCACTTGGCTGTTGGGTTCAGGGTAGACTCTAGGAGGGCGAGGATGAATGCAGGGAGGCCAGCTGGGAGCTATAGCAATGATGTCAGTGGGGACTTGGATCAGAGTACATGCTGAGAGGGAAGTGAGAAATGGTCAGATTCTGGTCTTATTTTGAGAGTTTAGTTAGCAGGATTCGCTCAGGGATAAGATATGGATAGAGAGTGAGAGGAAGAACACAGTTCAAGACTGACTTCAAGGTATTTGTCTTGAGAACCTGGGAGGTTGGCATTGCCACTGACTGAAATGCAGATGATGGAGGGTAGAGCATGGGTCAATGCAGAAGGTCAGGAGTTCTGTTATGAGCACATTAAGTTTAGGATAACTATTTAGAAAGAGATGTTAAGTGCTGAGTTGAGAATGGGACACCTGAACTTGGATTCAGTGTGAGCTGGGGCAGTAAGGCTGGATAGGATTACCCAGAAAGAATTCAAAGGGTAAAACAGAGTCACAGTATTTAACCCTGGGTCATGAGAAGGAGGCAGGGAAATTAAAGAGAAATTAGTATGAGAGATAAAGGAACTGCCACTGTCTGAGGCGCCAAAGTTAGAAATAAGGAAGGAGACATTAACTCCGTCAAGTGCTCCTGATAGTCTAGGAAGATGAGTTGCATGGAGGCCACTAGTTTTCTTGACAAGAACAGTTTCAGCAGAGTGGTAGGGGTCTGGTCTAAGAGGAGTGAGTGTAAGGAAGGGAAAATAGCAGAGATGAGTGACAGCTCTGCTGTAGCGGAGAAATACACATGGTAGCTGAAATAAAATGAAATGAGAGATTTTTTTAAAGATGGGAAGAAGAGCAGATGCTTGTATGTTGGTGGAAATGATCCAGTAGAAAGAGAAAAACTCATGATGTGAGATAAAGAATCAAGAATTGAGAGAATCGCATCTCTGAGTCACAAGAGGGGATGGGACCTGATGCAAAGCAAAGGAGGTTAGCTTTAGACAGGAGCATGGACAGTTCCACTCCAGCAACAGAAAGGAAGGGGAAGAGTTCTTGAAGAATAAAATGGGGTTCAGAAAAACTAAGCTATCTGGATAGATAGCCAGGAAAGTTGTCAGAACTGGTAGCACACTGGTTTTCAGTAATCTTTCCTTGGTAGGAATCAAATTATCCTGGCACCTAAAAACAGATCACAGACAGATATAATGGAGTTCACTGATTTCAGGATCAGGCTTGTAACCAGGAAAGAATTAAGGGAGATTATGCCATTTGAGATACATGGCAGCCACTACTGCTCACATCCCACAGACACTCAGAATTTTGTTTAAAAAAAAAAAATCAACCATCATTACACATGGTGACTTCGGAGTCTGTAATCTCATATGGCTTCAACTTGAAGAAGTTATCAAATGTAATGTTGATGGAAAATGTTCACAATATTTTAAAATGACCAAGACTATAAACTGATTGAAATCTGAGGAAAGTTAGGAGACTGTCACTCAACTAACTAAATATTAAGTGCGGAGGGAAAATAAGAGACTTTTCTTAGAACGGTTTTAATAACTCATTAAAAAAACCTTCAGAGGTCTCATAATATCAACACTATGTACAGGAAAAATTTAGATTCCTGGTCTCAAAATACATGATGTGGACATCAACCCCACTAATTTACTGAATGTAGCTACCCGCTAGACAATGTGGTATGTTCTTTAAAATATTTCTCATTTAACTTCTCAAAAGTAGTCATTCATATCCCTTTTTGGCAGTCATATCAAATGACTACCCCAGGATTCATTAGTACCAGATCACTTTCTTGGGCATTAGCTCACCTCATCTCCCTCTAAAATGAGAATAAAGGATCTTAACCTTTTCTGAGACATGAACACATTTGAAAATTGAATGAAAGTTATGGATTTTCTCATCAGAAAAATTCAAATACATACAAAACTTTGTATGTAGTTTCTAGGGGGTTCAAATTCCACAAAGTTCATCCACGTACCATCCAGAGTTGAAGGATCTGGTATTAAGATTCGCTCTATAGGAAATCAAGTTGCTCACTGTTTTTCATAAAATTTCTACTTCTTCTTGTCTAATTAAGTAAATAGTGAACAGCCTTGGACTTTGAGTGATCTGATGAATGGACCATGAGCTCTGAAAGTGCCTTTACTTTAGATAAATGTAAATCACTTAAAACTTGGATCCATACTCTAGATATTTCTGAGAGCCCATGGAAAACCTCTATGATTTTCTGCCATCATTCCCTGTGATACGCTGTCCCACATCATCACTATTTCCTTGGGTCAGAACTGAATGCTCTTCTGGAGAGCTTTCCAACAGAGCCCCAATGCCATGTTAAAAATCATCTGTCACACTTTAAAGTTTCCTTTGCCAAATCACTAAGTGATTGTAAGATCTGACTTCATAAAGGTGATAGTTATTCAATTTTATCTCTGACGGCTCTTAACCCAAGGGTTCTTTCTTATTGCAGCTATTATTTAAATGGTATTTTTATGTATCAGGTATTAAACTGTTTTATAAATATATAGGGTTAACTCATTTAATCCTCACAAGAATCTTAGGATGTAAATGATACCATGATCATCATCATCATCATCATCATCATCATCCCTATTTCAGGAATAAAGAAATAGAGGACTGTGATGTTAGGTAATTAGGTCGCAGAGTTAGTAAGTAGCAAAGTCAGGGTTTAAACCCAAGTGGTCTAGCTCCAAAGTTCATGCTTTTAACCACCACAACAGATTGTCTTTTAACATCTTGAAGGGGGGAAAAATGATGGAAAAGAGAGGGCCTTAAATAATTAACCTGTATTTTTTTTTAAGTTCTTTTAAAGAAGAAAAAAAAAAAGACATCTGTTTTCAACCTCTACCTAATAGCAAAAACATTCTTCATGAATTTCTACTTTGTATGTCTTCTCAAGATGAAATTGTTACAAAAAACTGTGATGATTCCTAAAGATGGCCATATTTCATTTACACTTAATTGCAAATTAGTTAAAACACACTAGTAAAAAGCAGTTAATGGTCATATGAAACAAAATGAAAAATGGCAAATATTGATTGATGAGTGAATTATTCAATAATTACTACTAATAAAGTAAACACTGCCATTCATTGTCTTGTATATGATAGGTATTGCTATAAACTGAATGTCTGTGTCCTCCTGAAATTCACATATTGAAAACTAACCTTCAATATGATGGTAGAAGGAGATCAGTTCTCTGGAAGATGGTTAAGTCATGAAGGTAAGGTCCTTGTGAATGGGATTGTTCTAGGTTTAGAATTTTACCCTAGAACTTATTACAATTTTGCATTCATTGCTTAATGCATGTCAGCCCCCCTAGACTGTAAACTCTGGGATGAAGGGCCATTTGTTCACCTCTGTGAGCTCAACATTTAACATGTAGCCTGGCATGCAGCAGTGCTCAAAAATATCTGATGAGTGAATAAATGGTAAATGACTTCATAGAAGGAAAAATGAGATGATAAAGGAGTTTAAAGAAGAAAGCTAAGGAAGGATTTCTGGAGGAAGATGACATTTAAAATTAGCCTCAAAAGAAAACGTAGCATGTGGCCACTGGAAGATGAGGGCAGATACAGAATCGTAGAGTTGAAACCTGGAAGATGGAGGTGCAGGGCTCTATGAGGACAGGGATTAGTTTGTTCTGTTAGTTTGGGTTTGGTCATGTCCAAAGAGAAACAGGAAGTAATGTGGAGATGTCGGGTATATTGGGTGGAGAGCTTAGTTTGAATGTGTCCCAGAAATCAAAATGAGGGATTTTCATTCCTTACATTTGATGTGTCCCTGACAGTGTGGCTTTTGTCTAAGTCACTTATTCATCTATAACTTTGTATTCATAACATGGGGCTACTGGACTAATTTTTATTTTATTTCTTTTTTTTTTTTTTGCTTAACAAGATTGCATAAAGACTGATAGTCATTCATATGGAATTTTTCAAGACTTAAAAATCTGTGCCAAAGTGGGGTTTTTTGTTGTTGTTGTTTTTCTACAAAATATCATATACATTTTGGGATTCCATTTATATACATTTTGTGTAACAAAGATTACATTTGTAAAAGGTCTCTTTGGGTCATTTTTACCTTTCCCCCATGTTTATAAATGACTTACAGTCAACAATGTCGCTCACCTTGCTGAGAGTCTCCTGTAAATTCCCCAGCAGCCACTGAATATCCTGTTTTAAAGAAAAAGAAAGAAAATAATTATATGTTTGAAGCTTTACAAATAAATGAGCAATATAGCTAGAAAAACAAAAGAACTACCATAGTACTGCTTTGTACAGAAATCTCAAAAAATATTGTAACAGATATTTAAGGTTCTGTAAAGGGAAAAATAAATCACATCAATATGAACATTTTTGTGCTAAATCCTGGAAGCATAATATTTCTGTGTATGGCAACACAGTTAGAGTATGAGATCATTTTCTAAAGCAGGAATGCTTCATAATCCACCTTAAGGTGTAAATGGCAACCACTGCATTTTAGTCACTGATTCATCATGATCAGATGTGACATTCTAAAAGGTATCCCCTTGTGCTCAGGTTTTGCTATTTCTGATCATCAACAAGCCCTACTTCCTAACTCATTTAATGATGGTTTTCCACAAATTTCACTTCGCTCTACAGTGAGGTGAGATCACAAAACATAACTATTTTTTAAATTCATCAATCAATAAAAATGCCAATTAGGATACCACAGGTGGGAAACAACAGTAGTGAAATGACATTGTGTGGTTTGCACATAATAAATTTTTAAACATTCTAGCAACGGCAAGTCTCATGCTGTTGCACTGGAAACTGGAAAGACCTCTATTTTGTTGCCCACAGTGCAGTACTGGGCAGCCCCACTAATACACAGTATCCACTGCTGGCAAAATATTTTACGTGCAAGACGCTACTATAGATCCTATAAAATAGTTGTCAAATCATATAGGTTATATATCATTGCTGAATCAAAAGAAAAGAAAGTTAAGAGTCCATATAAGCGAATAAGAAAATAAAACTCGTATATGATGTCAAACAATATCAGGTAACTGAGGGATAAAACATGCCGCACATATAAAATGTTCGTCTTCTGAGGGAACAAGAGTCTTGAGCAATGGATCTCACCAAGATAACTATCATCGTAGGAAGCTGGAGCCACTTCCGTCTGCTTTTCTCGAGCCAGTTTCCTTAGAATATCCTTGAATGAGTAATTTGCAATGATGTCTGCAATGCTGGCAGTGATCACCTGACCTGCGTTCAAACACATTAATAAATTAACCAAATGACTGTCTGAACCTCTGAACAACACGTAGTCCTTTAAAAATCATCACGGAACTGCTTGTTTTCAATGACAAAGTTTCTTGCCTGTCACTACAACTGCAAGTTGAAGTTGGTTACAGCTGAGACAGCTTTCCATTCTGATAGAAAAACCAAAGATGAACTACATGTTTCATCTGTCTTCCTTCACCATACATAGTCCCTCTACCTTCAAATGACAAAAACATCTGAGTGAAGACTCCTATAGGCAAAATGTATGTGATTACATTCTTTTTTTTTTTTTTAATCCTCACCCGAGGACATTTTTCCATTTTTGTTCAGATAGAGTGGGAGGGAGGGAGAGGACGAGAGAGAGACAGAGAGAAACATCGATGTGAAAGGGACACATCGAGTGGCTGCCACCCGCACGACCAACCAGGGCCGGGGACAAACTGCAACCAAAGTACATGCCCTTAGCGGGAACCGAACCCGGGTCTCTCTGGACCGCAGGCCAACACTCTAACCGCTGAGCCAAACCGGCCAGGACTGATTACATTCTTATTCTAGAATATTCTAGCTAGATGAAACATCAACTCGATTTGATACCATCTAGCCAAATTACAACTTCTTAATTGTGGGGAAACTGAGGCCCAAAGAGCTTAAGTGCATTCTCTCAGGTCGCATGGTGGTTTTGCTCTTAGGTATTTGGCATTACGAAGAAGGTCTCCTATGGCTTTCTAATTAGACTTTTTGTGTTCTCACAAAATACATATATTTTAAATCTAAACGATTTGATTAAGAGATTGTGAAACATCACTAAAGGAAAAATTTCATTTTTGAGCCGTTGACTTTTTATGCTAAAATGTATACATGAGCTTAATATTATGACAGTGGGAAGTAGCTAGGTCCAGTGAGATCCAGAATTTTAGCCACCAACACTGACATAACCAGAATTCTGGTTAATTTCTCCCCTATAGAGTCACTATCAGAAGTCTTGAAATACACTTGGGTTGGGATGAACAGAAATCCAAAAGATGGCCAGCAATCTCCACTACAATTTTATGCCTGCCCATATCTTTATGGTCATCTAAGGAAAAAGTGTGATCTCATGTTCTTTGGGCTAAAAATGGAGAAATGCTTTCAAGAGACTAATGTTTAATATTAATTTTAATGCCAAATTATTCTTTGGGAATTCACATATAATTCCCACAGTCTTATTTGAAATCCAAAAAGAATAAAACTGTCAAACAAGGCCATAAATATATCCAAGTGACTGTGTCTGAAATGACTGTTCTTATATTAACACAATGGTATTTACACATGAATTTCTGAACAATGTCTGTAGAATTTGCCAATTTTCTCTAGGTTGAAGCTAAATACCCACTTCCCTTCTCTTACATACACACTGCCTTTGCTTGTGTCCTCTAGCTACTTCTATAAACATTATAATCTTAAGACTAAATACAATTTTAAATAATCTATGTCAGCCTAGCCAGTGTGGCTCAGTAGACTGAGAGTCATCCCATGGACTTACAGGTCCTGGTTTGATTCTGTGTCAGGGCACATGACTGGGTTGCAGGCTGAATCCCCAGTAGCAGGTGTGCAGGAGGCAGCCAATTGATGTTTCTCTCTCACATCGATATTTCTCTCTTTCTCCCTTTCTCTCTAAAAAAAAAAAAAAAATGATAAATTATCTATGTCAGACAAATGCTTCTATATCCCCTTACTATGGCTGATTTTCAGCAAGTCATCTGTTTTCAGGCATTATTCGATTTAAGGAAAGAAAAGAATTATGTGAAATTAATCAAGTGAATTAGAAGACAATCTTTTTAAATACAATTTTAATCTTATATCTATCCACTGCATAAGCTAGATTGTTTTTAGTTTGCAAAATAATTTTTTTTTTTTTTTAATCCTCACCCGAGGACATTTTCCAATTTTTGTTCAGGTAGAGTGGGAGGGAGAGAGAGGAACAGAGAGAGAGAGAGAAACATCGATGTGAAGGGACACATCGAGTGGCTGCCACCCGCACAACCGACCAGGGCCGGGGACAAACTGCAACCGAGGTACATGCCCTTAGCAGGAACCGAACCCGGGCCTCTCAGGACCGCAGGCCGACGCTCTAACCGCTGAACCAAACTGGCCAGGGCTGCAAAATAATTTTTAAAGACTGAAATGTTCATTATTTGATGTTCATAGATGTATATATATGAATTAAGCTTAACAGTAATGTCATATAAAATTTTATCAAAAATTCATTTCTCCTGTATCTTTCTCATTGCTTTTTAAACATGATCAAGTCTCTTGCAATAAAACAAAAACAAAACAAAACAAAAACCCTCACTCAATTATTCATCTCTCTCAGATTCTACTCTTTCGTTTATCCTAAATTTTACAGCCAAAATTCAGTCAATATTCTCTGTACTCTCTCATTAGGCATCCTGTCCACACCCATGGCTTTGGTTATCGCCAATATGTCAGATATGTAAGTTTTTTGTTTGTTTGTTTCCAGCCACATAGGATTAGCTGAATGGGTTGGTGTGGACCAAATGACTTCGTGGACATTTTGGACCAGACCAAATATCCTGCAAGATCATTTTCACAAAGTCCCCCATCTCTTCACTTAGATACTTCCTATTCAGGGTTCAGGTCTCAGTTCAGGATTGTCTGCTTCCAAATTAGTTGACTTGTGTAACACCTTTATAAGAATCAGAGGAGCCCTGGCCAGTTTGGCTCAGCGGTTAGAGCGTCGGCCTGTGGTCCGGAGAGACCTGGGTTCGGTTCCCGCTAAGGGCACGTACTTCGGTTGCAGTTTGTCCCCGGCCCTGGTTGGTCGTGCGGGTGGCAGCCACTCGATGTGTCCCTTCACGTCGATGTTTCTCTCTCTCTCTCCCTTCCTCTCTCTCCCTCCCACTCTATCTGTACAAAAAATGGAAAATATCCTCGGGTGAGGATAAAAAAAAAAAAAAAAAAAGAATCAGAGGAGCCCTGGCTAGTTTGGCTCAGTGGTTAGAGTGTCGGCCCGCAAACCGGACAGTGCTGGGTTCCGTTCCCACTCAAGGCACATACATCGGTTGCAGTTTGTCCCCAGCTCCGGTTGGGGTTGTGTGGGTGGCAGCCAGTTGATGTGTTTCTCTCACATCCATGTTTCTCTCTCTCTCTTCCTCCCCCTCTCCCTCCCGCTCTATCTGAAGATAAATGCAAAAATGTCCTCAGGTGAAAATTAAAAAAAAAAAAAAAGAATCAGAGGGCCCTGGCCGGGTGGCTCAGTTGGTTAGAGCATCGCCCCCATATACCACGGTTACAGGTTCATGCCCCAGTCAGAATACATACAAGAATCAACCAATGAAAGCATAAGTAAATGAAATCACAAATTGAATAAATTGATCTCTCCCTCTTCCTCTCCCTCTCTCTCTCTCTTTCTCTCTCTCTATCTCTCCAATCAATCTATAAATAAATAAAATTTAAGAATCAGAGGAAGTTATCCCCTCTGGGCAGATGCTATCCTGCACCTGAATTCAGGTTTTCCTACTAAGCAGAACACAAGCTGTATTCCAGCTCCTTGTCAGCCAGTGTTCAGAGGATATAACACACTCACATAAAGCCACCCTGGAGGAGCCTCCTATATACCCATGGCCCCATCTTGACATACCTTTCCTTCATTGTATATACCTGGAGTTTCTCATTACTTGTATGAGTATTCATTTAATGCTTAATGCCAGCATCTTTCCCCAGATTGTAACCTCTGTGAGGGCAGGAACAGTGTCTGATTTTACTCATTATTGTGTCCCCAGCTTCTAGCACAAAGCCTGGCACAGCCTCAGTAAATAGCTGGTGAATAAACTAATTAAGCTGCAACAGTATAACAAAGTACTAACTGAAATACTTCATTCACTTGAGAAACTATGAACACAATAAAACATAATAAAAAGTCAATGTTCGATGTTACTTGGTTTCATCTGCTTGTTAGTAACAGTGAATGGGCAAGTCGTCTCTGCAGACAGCACATACCTTGCCAATAAAAACTCCCAGGTCCTCCGACTATAAGGTCTCCATTCTACAAAACAGAAACAGCAACAACAATTGGAAAAGAAAAACAGATTTTTTAAAGGGTGATAAATCATTGTTAATAAGCATTGCTCTAACAATCTGTTGTACATAAAAAAGCAATTTTTAAAAGAGGCCTTTATATCTCAGTTATGCAGGTCATTTTCGTTCCTTTTTGCTTTCAATTATTTCCTGTGTTATATACATTTAATTTGACTTAATTAGTTGAGTTGAATTCTCTCCCCTGAGAATATATCATTTCAGTTTTTTGGCACTGCCGTAGGTAAGCAAAATATCTACATATTTAATGCTGTACAATTTAGCAGACCTGGTCTTTTGAGCCTTGGCAATAAAATAAAAATTCAGTTTTTATTATCTCAAGGCCACAGCAATGCCTATTTTTTCCATACATTTGCAAACCACCTTCCCCAGGAGAGAGAGAGCAAAAACTCCAAACTAGCAAATATAAATTTTCTCTCTTACGACCCACCTTCTATACTCTGCATCCTTAACTTTCAGTGGGAAAAAAATGAAGACAAAGATGTTGATGAGATTTATACTATTTCTAAAACCATGGAGTTTTTGCCTCCTATATTCTTACTAGATATCTCTGTTTTTAATTTTGTGAAAGGTTATGTGAATTTTAGCACATGTTAAATCTAATCGGTCAATTACAGCAAAGAGATAAAGCAATTTACAGATTCTTGTGAACTTTTCAGAAGTACATTTCCCTATTGAGTTTTTGAGATTTTTTTCATTTAAAAATGATAACCCCAAAGGGTGGGAAGAAAGACTGCTATTTTTCATTATATATATCTTTGTACTATTTAGATTAACAGAAATAAAGAGTAAACAAAAAAATTTAAAGAAGTTGCCAAAGGAGGCTAGATACATACCTAAAGTTTCATTTGTTGTTAGTTAGTAGTTATTGGAGTAGGGGTTAGGGGGTAGAAGTGGGAGTGAGAGGCAGAAGGTAAAAAAAAAAAAAAAAATCAAGTAGATAAGATAAATATTAGAAGCTACAAGACCGAAGGAATTCACCTTATAAAAATCCAGACTAAATCCTGCTTGGCAGTAACCCTGACCTTCAGGATCAGCATTACCTAGAATGATCAAAATATATATTTTAATAATCAATTCAGGATATTCTGTTTTCTCCACAGGCTTCTAAATTTAAAATGATCCACATGTGGTTTATGTTTATTTCTAAATCTGTTCAAAGTAATATAGTAAACATATTTCGATCTATTTTTCTGTCCCAAATGTCACTGTGATTCTATACAAATATCTACAGGAACAGCGTCCCCTGGAGTTATTATACTGGGTTTCACAACTCATGTTTGTTTGAAGAAATAAAATCTCTATCTCTCAACTGTTTTCCAAATGGCAGTGATGTGTGTCTGTGTTGCCCGCGCATTCCTAGTGAAGCCAGATATCATTCCTAAAAGCAATGTCCTACTGAGAAAGGGAGAGCTAAATGTGGTCACCTGGGTGGATGCTTGCTGCTGGGATCACCAAAGGATTTCAATTTTGATCATCTCTAATGGGAAATTAACTTTAAAATATTCCATTGTCAGTAGTAGAGTCAATTTGGAAATTGCATTTCTGCTTACAATGAATCTCACAGGAACAGTGCAATGCTAGTGTCGACAAAAAGAAAACTCTCTAATAATGTCTTATTTTGTTTTCTATCCAAAACAATTCACTAACTGAATGTCCAATAGAACCTATAGGCTCACCAACATGTGGATTCCCTAGATATTGTTATAAAAAGTCTCTAGGACATTCAGATCAGGAATTTACTGCTTGTCACTTGTACTTTAAAAGAGTTCCCTACAATTTCTTTTTTTTTTAATCCTCACCTGAGGACATTTTTCCATTTTTTTGTTCAGATAGAGTGGAGGGAGAGAGAGAGAGAGAGAAACATCAGCGTGAAAGGGACACATCGAGTGGCTGCCACCCACATGACCCAACCAGGGCCGGGGACAAACTGCAATGGAGGTAGGTGCCCTTAGCGGGAACCGAACCCGGGTCCCTCTGGTCCACAGGCCGCCGCTCTAACTGCTGAGCCAAACTGGCCAGGGCTTCCCTACAATTTCTAAAGTGCTGAAATGCAGTGAGTAGGGGCGATCTCAATCATTATTTGGTTGGTTAGGAATATGTAAATAATTACTTCTCTCTTATCAAAGATATCCCTGAGTGGAAACTAAAATAAGAGAGCAGGAAAGGAAATGCACATCATCACAGCAAAAAATCTATAGGCTGAGCACATGCATGTTCCAGAAGCTTCTTGAAATGGGTCCGGTCTTTCCAGCTTTTCCTAGAATGTTTTCTGGGTTTTTTTTTCTTTTCTTTTTTGGTTATTATTTAGCTAATTTTAGCATTGTCATCATTCATTCTTTCCAGATGCTCCTTTTATATTTTAATATACTTTTCTACCTCATACACTATGGGGTGTTATTTTTTGGATGATAAGATCTGTTTTTAACTCAAATGTCAATTAATGCTTTGTGTATGTTTTTTTATTAATTTATTTATTTATTTTTGTTACAGATGTTTCTCCTTTTTCCCCCACTGATTCCCCCCTCCCCCTCCCTCCCCGCCCTGTCACAGCTTTGTTGTCCATGTCCATTGTTCATGCACACATGCATGTAAGTTCTGTGGTTTATCTCTCCCCCACCACTCCCTCTTCTGACGATTGTCAGTCTGTACCCCACTTCCATGTCTCTGAGACTACCCCATTCCTCAGACTGTTATGTTCATTATATTCCACAAATAAGTGAGATCATATGATACTTGTCTTTCTCTGTTTGGCTTGTTTTGCTTAGGATAATACTTTCCAGGTTCCTCCGTGTTGTCTCAAAGGATAAGAGATGTTTCTTTCTTATAGCTGCATAGTACTCCATTATGTATATGTACCACTGCTTTTTTATCCATTTGTCTACTGGTGGACATTTGGGCTGTTTTCAGATCTTAGCTATTGTAAATAGTGCTGCTATGAACAAGGGGGTACATATATTCTTCCTGATTGGTGTTTCAGGCTTCTTAGGGTATATTCCCAGCAGTGGGATCACTGGGTCAAATGGAAGTTCAATTTTTAATTTTTTTAAAAATCTTTATTGTTGAATGTAAAATGTATTACAGATGTTCCATATTTTTCCCCCATTGATCCTATCCTCCCCACTCCCGCCCCCCTCCCACCTTTTCCCACACTATTGTCTGTGTCCATTGGTTATGCATATAAGTTCTTTGGTTTATTTCTTCCCACCACCACCCCTCCCCCCAACCCCTTTCCCTTTGAGGATTGTCAGTCTAGCAATGAATTTTTACTTCTTAATCCCTTCACCTTTTTCACCCATTCTCCCAACCCCCCTCCCAGCTGGCAACCAACAAAATGTTCTCTGTATCTATGAGAATGTTTCTGTTCTACCTGTTCATTTTGTTTGTAGATTCCATTGTTGATAGATATGTATTCATTGCCATTTTGTTTGTTCATATATTTTATCTTTTTCTTCAAAAAGACCCTTCATCATTTCATACAATGGTTTGGTGGTGATGAACTCCTTTAACTGTTTCTTGTCTGGGAAAGTTTTTATATGGCCATCGATTCTAAATGACAGCTTTGCAGGATAGAGTAATCTTGGTGGTAGGTTCTTTCTTTTCATCACTCTGAATATTTCTTGCCACTCCCTTCTGGCCTGCAAAGTTTCTTTTGAGAAATCAGCTGACAGCCTAATGGGAACTCCCTTGTAGGTAACTAGCTGCCTTTCTCTTGCTGCTTTTAATATTCTCTCTTTGTCTTGAACCTTTTGCATTTTGATGATGATGTGTCTTGGTGTGTGCCTCTTGGGGTTCATCTTGTTTGGGACTCTCTGTGCTTCCTGGACTTGTATGTCTGTTTCCTTCACCAAGTTAGGAAAGTTTTCTGCCATTATTGTTTCAAACAGGTTTTCGATTTCTTGTTCTCGCTCTTCTCCTTCTGGCACCCCCAAGATGTGAATGTTGGCACGCTTGAAGTTGTCCCAGAGGCTCCTTACACTATCCTCACTTTTTTGGATTTCTTTTTCTTTTTGCTGTTCTGATTGGGCATTTTTTGCTTCCTTATATTCCAAATCGATGGTTTGCTCCTTGGATTTACGTACTCTATTATTGAAGCTGTGTAAATTATTCTTTATTTCAGTTAATGCCTCCTTCAATTCTAACTGTGTATCCATGATTTCTAACAGGTCCTTTTTTATGCTCTTGAGGCCCTCACTAAGTTCACTGAGGTTCTCACTAAGTTCATTGAGCATCCTTATAAGCAGTATTTTGAACTCAGCATCTGTGAGGTTGCTTATCTCCATTTCGCTTAGTTCTTTTATTGGGGTTTTGTTCTGTTCTTTCATTTGGGACCTATTTCTTTGTCTCCTCATTTTGGCTGCCTCCCTGTGTTTGTTTCTGTGTATTACTTAATGAGAGGTATGGGGCTCGCTGAGACCAGATGCTGCTCATTTGAAAGAATTTAGGAAAAACCTTAAGCAAGATCCAAGACAGGCCAATCCTATGGTTAAGCAAGTGGCAACAGCTTGGGTGGGCTTGAAAGTTAGGTGGGGCGGGGCGGGGCCTCAGGGAGTCAGCAGGGCGGGGCTACCAGTGTGAGCCAGGTTGCTGGAGTCCCAGATATGGCGACTGTCTGCCGCCCAGGGAAGGGCTCACCAAAGGAACAAAGGCCTCTTACAGCACGTTTGTCCCCGAGAAAGCCCCCTCTCCAGCCCTCGCTCCAGTGCCAAACAGCTCAGTTCTTCCCTGTATGTCTCTGGTGCCCCTCGAGCTGCCTCCCCTCCGAGCTTAGAGGGAGAGAGTCCGATAAGTCCGTGCGCCGGCCCTTTAGGGAGCTGCCTGGGGCTCCAGCCGCTTCAGCTTCCCTGAGCCTCAGTTCCTGCTGGTTTTACCAGCCAGAAGTTATGGGGACTTCTCTTCCTGGCACTGGAACCCTGAGCGGGGCATCTGGTGTGGGATGGGGACCCCTCAGTCCTCAGGGAGGACCTTCCTAGCCCAGGTATCCTCCTGATTTTTATCCATAACACTTGGGTGTGGGACCCGCCCTTCGCGCCGCTGCCGCCGCCCCTCCTACCAGTCTGGATGTGGCTGCTGCTTTAATTCCGTAGTTGTAGGACTTCCATTCAGCTTGTTTTCAGGCAGCTTTGAATGATGGTTGTTCTGTAGTTTAGTTGTAACTTTGATGTGGTTGTGGGAGGACGCGATACCGCGTTTTCCTATGCCGCCATCTTGACCAGAAGTCCTGCTTTGTGTATTTTTTAAAGCTAAGCTTTTCAAGCTTTATTAAGGTATACATGATAAATTTTTAAAAAACTGTCCATTTTAATGTGTAGAGTTTGGTGAGTTTGTACATATGCATACACCTGTCATACCACGACCACAATCAAGGAAAGAAACCTATCTGTCACCTCCAAAAGGTTTGTGTCTCTTCCTCACCCGAGGACATGTTTCCATTTTTTGTTCAGATAGAGTGGGAGGGAGGGAGAAAGAGAAACATCGACGTGAAAGGGACACATCGAGTGGTTGCCACCCGCACAACCCATCCAGGGCCAGTGACAAACTGAGGTACATGCCCTTAGCGGGAACCAAACCCAGGTATCTCTGGACCGCTGGGCCACACTCTAACCAGTGAGCCAAACCACCCAGGGCTTATTGCTTTTTTTGTGTGATCAAAACAGTTAACATGAGATTACCCTCTTAACAAATGTTTACATTTCCTTTTTTTTTAAGTTAGTTTTTATATTTCAATTACAGTTGACAATATTTTATTAGTTTCAGGTGTACACCCCAATGATTAGACATTACATAACTTACTAAGTGATCATCTCAATAAATCTCATACCCATCTGACATGATACATAAGTTTTAGAATATTATTGACTATATTCCCTATGCTGTACTTTGCATCCCCATGACTATTCTGTAACAACAAATCTGTACTTCTTAATCCTTTCACCTCTGTTACCCATCCCAGCTCCCCTCCCATCTGGCAACCATCAAAATGTTTTCTATATCTATGAGTCTGTTGCTGTTCTACTTGTTCATTTATTTTGTTTTTTAGATT